GTTGATCTAATGATGTTGTTGTATATGAAGAATTCAATGATTCCGTAGGAGCAAAAGTCGGACTGCCCCTTTGTTTGCCATTACGTGACATTGTATCAAATGGGGGGTGGATATAGATAGATAGTATTCACTAGTGTTATTCGTTAGTAGATATATCTTTCTCGCTAAAGAATTGAATGGTGTTTTGGTTGTAAATGGTAAATGTCGTTTAGTTATTTGAGACGACGAAAAAATGTCTCTTCATTTCTATAGAGAACGATATTGACAGCGCTACCATGTTTAAAATCACATTAAATTCCTATCCCCACGAGATACCATTCAATTAGCCCAATCCCATTGTCATCCGCCAAATGACCCATGGTCACTATTGACTCCAAATTTTTATCAATTCTTTTAACATCAAAATTGAAATCCTGAATCAAATCGTAAATTCACCACCATTGAATCCACATCATGTTTCCTGGATTATTCGATTACTATCATTGGATTCCAGATCTCATTCTCCACAAATGATTCATCAGTACATATGTTCTCTATCACCATAATCGGAATCATATATTAAATTCTAATTTCCTCAGCATTGAAACCATTCCAAGTTCGGGCCTAATTCTCCATCACCATAAATGAGGTTCTAAATCAAATTCAATCACCACCATAGACACATCCAAATATCCATACATCACTCATCTGCACCATTTAAACCCACATCAGATTCAACCACCATTGACTCCACATCAAATTCTTCCAACACCACCATATCAGATTCTTCAATCACCACCATTGGAAACCACATAAACAGTTTTGTAAATGATTCCTCGCCGCCAATGAAAACCACCTCTAATTATCTGTAAATGATTGATCACCATCATACAACTCCACGTCAAATGTTACCATAGCCACTCTTGTAATCAACCCCAATCCCTTCCCATATTCGCTGTTATCATCACTGAAATCCAAACCCAAACCTTCCATCACCATGATTGAAATCCAAAATGAAATTCTAAACTCACCACAATTGAAATCCAAAATGAATTTCTGAAACCACCATAATGGAAGATACATCAAATTCTCAAACACATTCTTTGTTATTCCAACCTAGATTAAGTCAAACCTTCTTTCGTTGAAATCAGAAGAATATCCATCACACAACACTAACCATTGGTCAAGTGGTTAATCCAGTATGAAAGAAATAATCCGATCCATTGAAAACCAGTCAAACTCTCTCTAAGTTGTCTATGATCACTTTTATCTCCATGGTTTTGGATTTGTTTTTTGTGTTTTAATATAATAGTGGGGAAATTTGATTTAGGAATAATGATTAATCATAGCGGTAGATTGAAAGATAATTACCTCCATTAAAATAATTCAATTATACTAATAGATGTGACATGAATATTATTTTTGTGGAAATAGGATGAATGATGATTGAGATTGATTTGTGGATTCTGAGTGCCGATTATTCTCTGTGGTTTAATTTTATTTCTGTGGTTTAATTGCCCCAAATATCCCCCATTTTCCGTCTAACAACCATACGTTTCTGAACATTCAAGGACATAACGGTCTTTGGTGGACTGATGAGATTGATTTTGGATGAATTGAGTATACTATTGGATTGGTTGATTTCTTTGTGGAAAGTAAAAGAAGAAAAGAAAAGGAAAAAGATTTTAATTTTTTCGCAATTTGGGCGTCTAAAATATTGCTGCAAATTTTTGGAACAAACACAAGAAAACAAAATGACGAATCTAGACCCACGTGCAATACACCAACACAGACCAGTTCATTGATAATTAAGCATAGTGGTTAAGGATAATTTAGGAAGGCCAAGTTTCTCCCAATTGGCTTCTCTGTATGATATATTAAATAAGAAATACAATAAATCTAAGAAGCTTATTCTCTGTTGGAAGGATGATAAATAAATTTGAATTGATATATCAATAGTGTGTAGTATATATTACACCCTTGGATTGACTTAGTAAAGAAGGTCGAAATAACATCACGAGTAAATTATATTTGATTGTTTACTACATACCATTCATACTAAATGAGCTGATTATTAGTTCTTTCTTATCAGATCGCTAGTATTACCCATTTTGTCTTGAAGCATTTAATTTTGCAACACATTTCTTTTTACAAACCAAATTCCCATGGTTAGTTTGGGTTGTAAAATACAAATTAATACACTTAGTTAAATCTATATACTGCTTAACCTAATTAATGAAGATAGTTTACTCTCTCGTTTCCACATTGGGTCAACCTTTTCCCCTAATATGTAGGGATACGATATAATTTTTTTTCATCAGAGTTAAAAGTTGTTTTGCAACCAATTGATATCGGATGAATTACTTGAGAATATATAACAGAGAACTTTGAATATCTTCATGATATATTCTCCAACCCTTTCCTCCAACTTGAATGGTTGTGTCAAGTATCACTTTACCTTATCAGATCTTCATCTTTCATAATTAGCCTCACCCAACTTTGGTTACACTACATGCTTTTAATCATAGGGATTGCCATTGTAGCAATACAAAATCATCATTCTTACTCTTACAGTTGGGGTAAAGGCATGGATGATTTAGATCTTAATATCTATGACTTCTACAACAATAGCATAGCCCTGTTCTTCAGTTAATTAAATAGGTTTTAATCTTCTTGTTTAATTAAGTTTCATTTGATGGGCTGTGTTGCAAATTATTTTGAAGAATAGATGATTTTAAAGTTCCATGTATTTTTTTTTCTGTCTAATTAACCGATTTTGTATCATATTCCCCCCTTTTAGTGTACTTTCACTCTCATTCACTCACTCAATTCCACTCGCCGCCCCTTAATTCTGCTGGCTCTCTTTTTTTCAACTGTATCAATTTCATCATCCACTTTTAATTAATTACACACACATACCCTCAGTTGGAATAGTTACACACTCAATTGATACTTGTAATAAACAACGATGAATGTTTTAAAATTACAAAAGAAATTTCCAATATTAGATCAATCAGATTTATTTAATATAATTGAAGATTTTAGATCAATTGATTTAGATGATCAAGGTTGGGCAGAAAAGAAAGATGTTATTAATGCTATTGCTAAAAAGGGAAATTATTCTTATGATCAAGCAAGAGAAACTTTAAAACATGTAGATGTTGATGCTAGTGGTAGAGTAGAATTAGATGATTATGTTGAATTAATGGCAAAATTAAAAGAATCTTCTTCTACCCCTCCACCTCAGGGTGGACAAGCAGTAGCAGAAGCTACTGCTGGTAGTGGAACTTCTCCTAGAGTTATCAAAAAACATGCTCCACCAGTCCCCACTGCCAATGCTCAAAATAAAACTTTTATTGAAGGGAAAACTTCAGGTACAACTCATACAATTAATGATGAAGAAAGAACTGAATTTACAAGACATATTAATTCTGTATTAGCTGGTGATCCAGATATTGGAAATAGATTACCATTCGATACTGAAACTTTCCAAATCTTTGATGAATGTAGAGATGGTTTAGTTTTATCTAAATTAATTAATGATTCTGTTCCTGATACAATTGATACTAGAGTCTTGAATATCCCTAAAGGTAAAAAAATCTTAAATAATTTCCAAATGTCGGAAAATTCAAATATTGTAATCAATTCAGCCAAAGCAATTGGTTGTATTGTTGTTAATGTTCATAGTGAAGATATTATCGATGGAAAGGAACATTTAATTTTGGGATTAATTTGGCAAATTATTAGAAGAGGATTATTATCAAAAGTTGATATTAAATATCATCCAGAATTATATCGTTTATTAGAAGATGATGAAACTTTAGAACAATTCTTAAGATTACCTCCAGAACAAATCTTATTACGTTGGTTTAATTATCATTTAAAAAATGCTGGGTCACCAAGAAGAGTCACTAATTTTTCAAAAGATATTAGTGATGGAGAAAATTATACGGTGTTATTACATCAATTACAACCGGAACATTGTGATTTATCACCCCTCAAAACATCTGATTTATTAACTAGAGCAGAACAAGTCTTACACAATGCTGATAAAATTGGTTGTAGAAAATATTTAACCCCAACTTCTTTGGTTGCCGGTAATCCTAAATTAAATTTAGCTTTTGTTGCTCATTTATTCAATACTCATCCAGGTCTTGAACCAATTGAAGAACATGAAAAGGTCGAAATTGAAGAATTTGATGCTGAAGGTGAAAGAGAAGCTCGTGTTTTCACATTATGGTTAAATTCTTTAGATGTTGAACCTCCTGTTGTTTCCCTCTTTGAAGATTTAAAAGATGGGTTGGTATTATTACAAGCTTATGATAAAGTCTTACCCGGATCAGTTTCATTCAAACATATTAATAAAAAACCCGCCAATGCATCTGAATTATCTCGTTTTAAAGCGTTAGAAAATACAAATTATGCCGTGGAGATTGGGAAAGCTAATGGATTTTCATTAGTCGGGATTGAAGGATCCGATATTGTTGATGGGAATAAATTATTAACTTTGGGATTAGTATGGCAATTAATGAGACGTAATATTGTCAATACTTTAGCTGAATTAGGCAAAGGGGCCAATCTTACCGATGCTGATATTTTGAAATGGGCCAATGCACAAGTCATAAAAGGTGGTAAGACCGCCAATGTCAGATCATTTAAAGATCCTTCATTATCTACTGGTATTTTCTTTTTGGATGTTTTGAATGGATTAAAACCAGGATATGTTGATTATGAATTAGTTTATCAAGGTGATAGATTAAGTGAAGAAGAGAAATATGCAAATGCTAAATTGGCAATTTCTATTGCTAGAAAATTGGGTGCTTTGATTTGGTTAGTGCCTGAAGATATTAATGAAGTTAGAAGTAGATTGATTTTATCATTTGTTGGTAGTTTAATGGCGGTTGCTGAAACTTTGTAAATCAATCAGACCATAAGGTCTGATTCTTATTCTCTTTTGTTTTTATATGTTGTTTTTTATAGTCATCATTATTTGTTAGTTATGTGTATTATGTATCAATCTTCTTAAACAGTTTTTTAAAAATAGATGATCCTTTATAGTTCCCTTATAGGATGTATTGTATGTATTTATTAGTGATTGTTGATATTCCTGCATATTGCACAACCAATAAAATATTTAGAATTGAAAATTCTCATTCTCTCAATTATTTCTCTTCAATCTCAAAATCCTTAACAATCTATAACAGCTTTCTTAGAAGGACTGATTGAACAGTAGTTGCACACATTAATACCCAGTCAAATATGTCAGCTCCAATTCTTCCATTCACAGAAGCGAATTCCAAAAGAATCGCATCTATGTTCCGCAGAGCCCTCAGAACAGCATTTGATCATTCCATGAAATTTTCAGTTTATAGACAAACAACTATTCAAATTAGACAACAATTTGAAACAAATAAAGATATTAGAGATCCTCAAGAATTAGAAAGAGTGATTGAAGCAGCTGAAGCGAAATTAGCCCATTGGAAACATCCTGATCCTTATATTCCTCCTTCTAGACCAGGTGGTACTAAATGGCAAAGAAATGTTCCTGTTGCTAGAGGTCCACTTGTGCCTGGTAATTGGTAGATTAGATGGTTGCGCAAAGCGTTGCATCAAATCATTCATTTTATATATAAGAGTATTAACCCTTGTAGGGAGATAATTAGTTTACTTTAGAGTACTCTTCATTTGTATCATATTTATTATTTTTAAAAAATACATTTCCATAGTCATATTTATTTACTTCATTACCCTTGAAACTTGTCATCTCTTTGGATTTCATTCAAAATCCAATGAAAGTATTAGTCGTCCTCTGTAAAGTGTTTTATTGTCTATTATTAACCTGTTGTGTCTATATAAATCTATAAAATTTCTAATATATAAGAGTATCCGTATTGTCATCCGTTTCACCAGATTCCCCCTCCCACATCTGATTCAACATATTAAGCACCTTATTCGAACTAGCTGATCCTACTTGATTAGCCATCCTAAAAAACCTCCTCAATAACTCTTTTTGATCCCGTTTATGACAATTCATACCGGCAATTAATAATGGCCATTGTAACATTAATAATAAATATGGAGATGCATGTTCCAGCGCATCTGAAAACTCGGCCAAGTAGGCTATGAATGATAATAATTCCTGGACGTAATATTGAATATTTTGATTATGATTATTGACTTGGAAGAATTTCGTCAAGATTATGATTATTGATGAAAGGATATATGATTGATGAGAGACATCTTGCCAACTTATCCAATATCTCTCATCATTGATTCTTATTTCTTCAATTGGAAGTCCCAGAGTATAATTGCTTTGTTTTAATTCTGAATCGTTGATTATTCCCTTGGGGTTGATATAACACACAGTAGTTTGTTCATAAAAATTACTCAAAACCCTAAGAGGTTCCATCTTATCATCCCCGGTATTGTTGCGTTTATGTTTATTCAACAACTTTAACAAGTCTCGAAAATCACGAAATGAAGCATGCAGATATCCACCAATCACACTAAAGCCCTTCTCCGTAATCAATCCCATCTCTTTCAAAACCTCCATCTCATATTCATCTCCGGGGGAAATAATCGCATCCACTTCCCAATCCTCCTGTAATGTCCCCCCAACTTCAGTACTCAACCCGGCTAATATCTCAATAGTTATGAACCAATATTTACAAAACACCACCGGTTTTGAAATCTTTCCAGCATTCTGTTTTGTCGACAATCTTAATAATAAATCTTTCGCCCCCGATAAATGAGGTCGCCATTTTTTCATACTAGTAGCAGTCGACGCCGTCAACAACAACAACGTCAACAATGTCGCCTCGATCTTGACATTACTAGTATTGATAATATTATTCGAAGTCTGATCTAATAATTTCAAACATTTAGATAAATAGATCCCATATGCCCGTTCATCTTCCGACAAATGACTTCGGTCATAACAATGTTTAGCACCCTCCGCGAGGATTGCAGCTAGGAGGAATGGTTCCCGAGAGGCGGCGATTAGGATTACATCACGAACAGGATTAGATATGGTTTTGGAAATGGGGTCATAGGCGTCGAAGGGGAGGATTATGTTGGCGAAATTGTGGTAGAATTGTTCGAAATATAATGTTTCGTGTTTTCGTTGGAATTGTAAGAAATCTATCGGGATATTTCTTGTGATTTCAGACTTGTCAGCCGTGGGTTGGGGTGGTTTTGGTTCTGGGTGTGGTTGGCCTGCTAGTTCAAGATATGGACTGCTGGTTTGGAAATTATCATCTGTTGATTCCCAGGTGGGGAAATTTGAGAATCCCATGATTTCATTCACAAGGTTGTTTAAATCGGTAGTTAAGACACTAAGATCAGTACCACTAAATTGATAAATGTCATTATTGAATATATCTGGTAGCGTTGCAGCAGCTGTTGTAATGCTTCTATCATCAGTTGCATCCCCGTTCATTGGATGCAGTTGCAGCTGTTCATGAGGAGGTCGTACAATACTTGTAGGTAGCACTTGAGGTGAAGATGATACCGAATTCATATCATTCACAAGATTGTTAATATGCACCGGAGATCTCCTTGTCTTTTCCGACAGTTCTTCATTGTTCTTATTATCTTCTGACGGTTGTCGTTGTTGTGGTTTAATATTCTTAGGTAAATCATATTGTATCGGTAAGAACTGAGTAGAATTTGTAGCTAATGAATCAATTTCTTCTCTAATTAATCTTCTAGAAATTCTTAATACTTTTTCACCCGGTAATGGATATGAACATACTTTATTTAACTTTAAACAGATTGAACATGCAGGTTTTTCTTCGGTACATTTTATTTTTCTTCTTTTACATTCACGACATCCTAATCTACTATATGGTCTTCTTCTACTGCTACTGGGACTACTACTACTACTGGGTAGTGGCAGTTGTATACTCTCTCTTGGTAGCATCGTTCTATGTAGAGAATATACGGCGGGGCTGAAACGAAAAAAAAAAAGCAATTGGTATTTTTTATTTATTTATAATCAGATTCGGAGCTACCATGTGTATATGATTCCCGGCGGTTTTCATGAATAGTTTGTTGGTTTTAAAACAATACCCAACCCGTTAGGAGGGGTACACTTCGTCATGGCTCATAGGGTCTATTCAATAAAGAGTATTTAGCGTAAATCGGAGCCGATTTAAAGTCATAAGTATTATTCTTTGCATTATACTACTTTATTGATTAGTGTCTACTTGAAAATATTGTTTTATTTGAACTCAAGATTTAGAATAGTTTATGTAACTGGAACGTGCAGCCGCACGATAGAGAAGTAATTGACAAGGTTTAATTAATGTTTCGTATAAATCGAAGGCTGAATCTGTGGTAGAAATGAAGTTTACTTCGTAAGATATTTCCATGTAAAACTTCTATTGCAAAAAAGCATAATGTGCATCGACATGAATATTACTTAAAAGAAGACCATCAAGACTATCTATGGAAATCTCATAAATCAAAAAAGATAACAACATCGTGAAGGACATATAAAGTTTTAGGAATGGGTTTATCAAATCAATTGTGCACGTGACTTAATTTCCTAATTGGGATGTACCTATAATTTATTTTCACTCTCTCATCTCATCTCTTCATCCTCACTGAAAAAAAAATTATTAAGATTCGGTTTATCAAATCATCTTCTATAAACAATTCACTTTATTAATAGTAGTATATATAGAACCATTCAACCATGCCTAGATCAAAACGTTCCAAACTCGTCACTTTAGCTCAAACCGACAAGAAAACCAAAGAAAACAAAACTCGTATTTTTGATGAAGTTAGATCCGCATTAGATGAATATCGATATGTTTGGATATTAAAATTAGATGATATTAGAACTCCAGTATTACAAGATATTAGATCAGATTGGACAGGATCTAAATTATTATTAGGTAAAAAAAGAGTATTACAAAAAGCTCTTGGTGATACACCACAAGAAGAATATAAAGATAATTTACATAAATTATCAAAATTATGTGATTCTGCATTACCTGGATTATTATTTACTAATGAAACTCCTGAAACGGTTCAATCTTATTTCACGGCATATACTAAACAAGATTATGCAAGAGCTAAATCAAAAGCACCAATAGATTTTGTTATACCTGAAGGTATTGTATATTCAAGAGGTGGACAACTTCCAATTGAAGAAGATGTACCAATGTCTCATTCTTTAGAAGAAACTTTAAGAAATAAATTAAAAGTACCTACTAAGATTAAAGCAGGTAAGATTACTATTAATGAACCATATGTTGTATGTCGTGCTGGTGATGTTTTGGATGTTAGACAAGCTTTATTGTTGAAACAATTTGGGGTTGCTGTTTCGGAATTTAAAGTTAATACTTTGGCATATTTTGATGGTGAATCATCTGAAATCATTAAGACTGATCAATAGATTTTTTACTACGTAATTATAATTTGTATATTAATAAAAGCTATTAAGAGATATCTCATGAGTGGTTGGTCTAATCAAACCGTTCTCCTAGTAATATGCAATGAATAAACTACATGAATTGGCTTACATGTTTAGATATCGTATCTCTGGATATCTATTGCAAGTAGCCAGTGGGTGTGTACTACTATTGAGGCAACGAAATTCTATTCCTCTATTACTAGCCATGGCTGCCCACTTTGCCATTACTCTCTCTACCTAACTGGTATTCCATCCCCGCGTCATAGGATTACGACTTCCTCACCTGAACATAAAACAATCTCGCATCTCTATCACCAATATTCCTTATCTCATATTCATTATAACAAGGTACTTCAAAAGAACACCCTTTATTCACCACAAATGTAGTCATACCATTTATAGTAATCTCCATTAATCCATTCATGACATGAAACACACACAAACTCCCCCCAGTTGAATGTCTGGCTTTGGTTTTCCGGAATGGAACCTCAAGTATCCCAGTCGTTGTCGTTGTACTTCCCTCCCTATCATCTTCATTCTCGAATAATTTCGCCACTTTGCAGGATTCATTCTGGTTTTCTGACACACGTTGAAAATCCCCCGCAGTGGCCGAAAATGCGATGTTTCGAGATATCAAATCCCCATTGGAATCCTTCACCTTCATATTCAAACATCCCTCCCGAAGCCACGCCGAACCAGGTATGCCCGATTTGCGTAAATATATATCTCTCTTCCGTTCCGGCAAAATTTCCCTATTTCTCAGTCTAAAATCATTCATCCTGCGCGGACTTCTCATATTCATTGATCTTTTCAATCTCCGAGCTTGATCAGGAGGCGGGGAGGGTAATGGAGACGGATCAATATCTTGTCTTCGCCTGGCGTCGTGGGATTCTTTATATATCGTAGCCGGAGAAAGTAGTCTATTAGGTTCTGCATCTGGTCGAACTAGCGGTCTTGGCCGCAATACTGCTGACGGGCCCGGTTGTTGTTGTTGTTTTTGTCCCTCGTCGAAAGAATCGGAATTATCTTGAACGAAGAGAGCGGATGATGCACCTCGTTTTCGTTCTTGATTTGATTTGGTTTCGGATAATGGAGATCTCAATGGAGATTTCTTATGGATTTTGGATGTTGCTGTAGTGGTGGTTGCGGCAATGTCTCCAGGGGAATATTTTCGAGGATGATGATGATGATGAAGGTGATTTATTGGAGATAGATTGAATGATTTTGTGGTTTCTTCATCATTGAATTCAATCTTTCTCGCGACGTTGTGTAAGATCTTGGATGATTGGCCAATGGTTGATATTGGCTGTAAAGGCATATCATGAGTCAGTTCATCAGACAGGGAGTCATTACGATGTTTGAAGAATGTATCTTCTTTATCTGTTTTAAAGAATTCATCAATATCTTCCATACCATTTTGGTTTTTTGGTAAATTCTTTTTAGGTCTGAAACCTGTTCTTCTCGCTATTGAACCAAGCTTTGGATAATTCATTGTCGTCTTGCTCTTCTATTCTTTGTCTATTCAATAGTTCAATCCTATAAAGGAAGATGGTTACGTGGTTTGTTTTTGTTTTTGTTTTGTTTGATCACAGAAAATTCTGAAGAACGCGAATTTTATGAGCACAATTCCCAATTAGGAAATAGTGCGGCTCATCGGTTTATATAAGAAAATTATTTGCACCCATTAATTTATTAATTCAATCTATACACAACTACTTATACACACACAGCTATTACGATTATAAATGCCCAACCAGTATCCGATCATCGCTATTCAATTTCAATTCATACCCAATAACAACCCCATCATTATAACTAATATACAACAAATACCGCGCCAATTCCAACACTCCACCTTCTCCCCAAATACATCTATCCCTCAAACTTAATCCCGTGATAGTTCTATATCCATGATATCCAATCGCAAGACTCAAAGCATTCGGGAATAAATGTTCTTGTCTCATCCCATATATCCCCCGATATTTACACAATCTCATAATTGAAACCAATCCTTGTTGAGAAATGGCAATCAAACATGATAATTCCGGGATGATGTGGGTGATTGAGATTCGATTCAGATATTTCGATTCTTCATAGGGGATGGAGAGGTTGAATAATTTTTTGGTGGCTGTGGGGCAGTAGAGGGAGGGATAGTTGAACATGGCTAATTTTCGACCGGTTGAGACTAATAAGAATGTAGGTTGGGGTGAGGGGTGGGATAGCTTGTATGATTTCCCATTCATGGATGGTGGTTTGGTGATGGTGGTGGTGGTGGTTTGGCGAAGGGTACGGAATAAATCTTTATGAATTCTTCGATATTCATCATCGGTACTGGTTAATTTTAATCCTTGACCTTCTGGGTCTAGATGATGATGTTCAACTAATCCTAGATTAGTTATTTTGGATTCAAAAAATTGCCAATTTGAAGCAAGTCCTAAATCGCTGGTAATCATTGGATCATACGTTAGGTCTAATATTTTCGATTCTTCATTTATTCTTTTGATTTGTTCCTGTTCGTTTATATTCAAATCACCAAATACCGCTGAGATTGACGAGACCGGTAAGAAATATTTCCCATTTATAGGTTTGATGGTCCAGCCATCCTCACTTAAAACACATCGAGATATCACCTTTGGATGAGTGAATTTACACCTTTTGAATCGTTTATTTCGTAATATACGTAATGTTTGATCATTTGGATCAATTCCATTTCTATTCTCAAGTTGTTCCATCGTAGGATCGACATAGTATAACAAATCTCGTTTTCGATAATATTCAAATTCATCAATATCTAATGGTCCAGCCACTAGTTTGAATTTGAAATTAAACACAATAATTTCTCCCGATATGGAAGCACATGCAACATTAATCGAATGAATATCACCATATCCCAAGAAATCAACATCAACTATAGAAACCTCAGGAATATTATGTAAGATCTGATGAGATTTCACATGATAGAATCTTTCATCTCGTGGATGATAATAAAATAAACTCAAACTTTGAGAATTATCCGAACATACAATTATATAATGATCAGATCCATATTGATCTCGATAATGACGATGATCAACTCCCCATAATGAAGCTTCTAATTTGATTTTAAAATCAGGTTGGATTTTCAACCCCGCGAATCTATTCTCATCACGATATCCTCCCTCAACCTCTTCTTCGTCTGGGAACTTCTTAGCATATTGGAATTTCTTGATATATGATATAATCGTATCACTATACCACATCATCAAAGTCCCGTCATCACTACATACCGCCAATGTCTCCCTTTCATTAAAATCCCCAATTGTCTTCATGAAATTAATCGTATGTGGGAAATATGGCCATGTCGATATCAACCTATCCGTACTCGAAGTATATGTCGGTCTAGTATCAAATTTAAGCACGGGCCTTTTCGTGGGTAAATTGTTCACAGTATTGAATTCATAGATTAATATTTCTGAATTTGATGCTTGGATGAGATAATCCACATGATTATTGGTGGAGGAGATGATTGTTGAGAGGTTGTTTTTGTATTTTCTCATATCTTCTAATCCATATAATTTCTGAATTCCTAAATAGTTTAGTCTCAATGAATTGGGGAATTTATCTCCTGGGGATATGGTTAAGATTTTGGCAGGGTCGGAGTTTTCTATTGTGATGGAAGTGGTTGGTAGTTCCTTAATCCCAAGTCCCGTGGGGTTATCAGAATAGACTGGCTTGAATTCCCATTTCTCATAAGCTTCTTGGGAACTCTTCGGGAATGTCACTTCAGTGGATATTTCTTGTGGTTCTGACTCTTCTTCAATCAGATCGGGTGAATTATCATCATTGACGGAAATATATTCATAATCTCGATCAATATCAACATAATTAGTAGTGCCGTCATCATGTGAAGGTGGTGGTGATTCAATATTGGAAATTAGACTTTGTTCACCAAATGCAAAAGTTTCTCTTCTTGTATTGTAAAAAACATCAGAATCGGGATTATCTTCATTATTCGATCTAAATTCATGATCTCCAATAACATCCTCATCATCTTCACTCATCTCTTCCTCTCCCTGTTCTTCCTCCTCTCCAATCCCCGACACAGTACTATTACTCCTATCACTCCCATTCTCGCCTCTAAATATTGATATGATCCTCAATGGTTCATCCACCTCCACATCCACATCATCATCATCTTCAAACACATTATCCCTCTCTCGATTCCTCCTATCCTGTTCTCGTAGATTAGATATCACCGTATTGATCCGTATGTTGCCATCACTAGTTGCTCTACTTCGAATGGTGGTGGTCGTGTGCTGATGATCCTGATTGGAGGAGGAAGTTCTTGCGATACGTCGTATTCCTCTACTTCGTAAGAATTGTTTGTATTGATGTTTTAAGTTTGGTTCTTCCATAATGTGATTTCTATGTGATGGTTTATTGGGGTGGTAGTTTGTGGTTTCTGTGGTTTTAAAGATAATTATGAAATCAGGGGAAATTTAAATTTCTAATCATTTATTTTTAATATTATTTTTTAATTTTAACAAATTGTGGATTTTTTATTTTTTAATAATTTTTGAAAGAAAAAAAATGTTTATTTCTTAGAAAAAGTTTCAAATGACAATTACAGAAAGAAAGAAAAAAACTGCACATCGTATAAAACCATTTTAAAGAAATCCCATCTGTAATAACCAACCAACCATGACAGAAGAAAAACATCACGCCGACTATTCAAACATCCAACCAAACACCCTCTCCAAACAAGAAACCCTCCAACACATCCTCGACTCCTACTCAGCATTATCATACGATACAACCAATTGGGTCGCCAATTTATCAAACTGTTCTTCCCTCTTATGGCATGCCTATCATTCGCTTAATACTCCTGTCAATTGGACTGGTTTTTATGTGAGATCGACCCCACAAGAATTGATATTGGGTCCATTTCAAGGAAAAGTCGCCTGTCAGACAATTAGATTCGGACATGGGGTATGTGGAACTGCTGCGGGTAAGAAAGAGACACAATTGGTGAAGAATGTTGAGGAGTTCCCCGGACATATTGCATGTGATGGGGAGACAAAGAGTGAGATTGTGGTTCCTATTGTGAAAGATGGAGAAGTTGTTGGGGTGTTAGATTTGGATTGTTTGATATTGAATGGATTTGATGAGGTTGATAAAGAGTATTTGGAGAAGTTATGTGAATTGATAGGTGATACTTGTGATTGGAGTAAATTGTAAGGATAATTAATGGAAAACATAATCTTAATTATACATGAGATAAAGAATATACTAATTATATATAGATAAGTAATATATATATAAAAATAAAAAGAATAGAGAGAAAAAGGGGACACACCATTGATATATAAAAAGATGGGGATAAACAAACAAGATGGAGTAAATTAGGAATGGTGAATCAAAGGGGAGGAAGTTATGTATCATAAGTCATTTCAGCTCATATAGTATATAAAACAAAAACCAAAAGGATATAACAAAACAAAACAATCATAAAACACACATATTTCTAGATTGGTAAGTAAGATATGGTACAAGGAATATTAATCAAGTGCTTTCTCAGCTTCAGCTCTTCTTTGTTCTTCTCTTTCTAAATTATGATATAATAATCCTTTTGCCTTTTCAACTGCATGAGCAGTTCCAGTAATTGTGAAAACACGTTCTGATTTCCCTTCAACTTCTTCAGAAATTCCAATTGATGCTCCACTTATTTTTCTAACTCCTTGAATTCTTGATCCATTCTTACCAATCAAAGCACCAACAATATCATTTGGGAATGAGATTGTGGTGGTAGTGGTTGAACCACTACCAGTACGTTCTGGAACACCACCGGCTGCACCACCTGAAGATCTTCTTCTACCACTTCCACCATTAGTTGAACCTCCATTATTATAAGAATGACCTCTTGGAACATAATAATTAGTATTTACAATCGACGAGAAATCTTCAATTAAACATCTTGAAATTATTCTTAAAGCATCATATAAATCATCAACAGTACCTTGTAATTCAACCAATCTTTCATTAGATCCAGGTAAGAAACTCTTAGAAGCAATCATAGAAATATTAAATTTTGATTGAATTTGTTGAATTCTAACTCCCTTTGCACCAATTAATGTCCCCATTTGAGTATTAGGAATCAATAATCTTAAAATAGTAGTTTCATTTTCAACACAAGGAGTGGCTGATAATTGTTTCAAAGGGAAGAAATTATATGTTTCAATAGTTGAATTACATAAAGCTTGAGCAAAATAACTTAAAGCTTTAGCACAATTATCTAATTTCCCAGAAACGGTTAAAATACGTTCATGAGATCCTGGTTGTAATCGTGAAATACCAGCTTTTGTATTAGTTTCCCCACGAATTGAATCAATCACTTGTCCATTTTGGCCAATTAAACAACCGGCTTCTTTGGCAGATACTAAAACTCTAAAATTTATTAAAGCATCAACATTTGATTTATCATGTAATGAAGGTAAATTGACAGATTGATCGGCAGCAGATGAAGAAGATGCGCCAGCAGCATCTTTTTCTGATTCTTCATGATCATTGTTATCAGTGGATGATGATTCTTCAGGATTTATTGGAGATTCCTCGGTCTTTTCTGATGGTTGTTGTTGTTGTTGTGATTCTTGTTGTTGTTGTTGTTGTTGAATAGCTTGTTGCTTTGATTCATTTTCAGAAGTGAAATTGGTGTCAAATAATGATTCAGTCATTGTAGTGATAGTTAGTTATATAGAATGAGTATGGATAATCTATTGGCTGTCGTTTGTTTGTTTTGTTAAAAGTTTTGGATGGATGTCTGGTTGGGTGTACAAAAAAGTTTTTAGGGGCAAGTTTGAATTGATGAGGTTTGTAGGAAGGAGGATGCGGATAGATGGCGGTGGGAGATGAGTTAGTGTGTAGTGTGATGTGTATCAAAGCTGGGTGTTAGTGATTTGTGTTCTGTAGAATTGATTGATTAGATCTCTGCAGTGGTTGTTGTTGTTGTTGATGATGATCTAAAGTGTATATAGACAACCATTTTTTTCATATTCAATCTTTCCTTCCCCCCTGTAAAAACATTTTTTCTCTCTTGTCATATTTTTTTTTTGTTTAGAAAAATTTTCTTTAGAAACAAAAGCGAGGTAGTGTAATAACCAAAGTCTATCTATATGCAGGTTGATACATGTCGCATAAATATCATGTCGTCATTGATAACTAAGACGACATTCTAGCTGCAAAAAAAAAAAAATTAGGCGACAACAACCCCTTAAAAATTAGAATAAGAAAATTTAGCAAACAAAAAAAACCAACCTCCCTTTTTTTCACAGCCAAAAACAAAAGCCGATTACACCGAATTTCTAATACAATTAATAATCGAACGGAATAGTTGGAATATTTGTTAAGGCTAAGTAGGCTAAGTATCCGTATATTTTTTATAAGTCACGAGAGATAAAGGTAGTGTTGTTCTTGTTTATTTTTGGCATATTTTTTTTTGCGCTCTTTCTAAGAGAAAGTTAATTTATTAATTGTCAACTATTAGAGAAGATGAATATACTACCTGGTTTCATTATTTATAAAGGAGGAGATATATGAGTAATTGATTGTTCTATATATTAGATGGAAGTTTAACCGTTATTGTATTTAAATACTTAAACTAAATAACTATTAAGATTATAGGGGGGTTATTGGGGGTTATGGGTAATTGCTATTTGTTCACATAAAAGAAAAGAATTGACTGAAAAAATGAATGACAGTTTTTATTTTCCAAATTAAAATTTCAAATTATTCACACAATTTTATTTAAGTTTCATTCCTTTTTTATTATTGGTCATTCTAAATGAATGATAAATGAGGGATGATGAGGGATATGTAAATGGAATTGACTGATGGTGATGGTTATAATTGATGATGATAATTGATAAGATTGGAAAACGTTTGATGTATTTTTTTTCTTCTTTCTTTTCTATAATTAGTAACATTGCTATCTAAGAATCAACCGTAATTGATAAACCCATTACATAATGATGAAATTTTGATCTCAACCGTTTTAGCCAACCACCCCTCATCTTTGAATCTTCGGAGTTGTCACTGTTCCTGGTATTGAGTAATGTACCCCGATTCAAAACTGGGAGGAGGTTGATAAGCCTTGATTTTAACGTAAACTGAGGTCGCGCGGATCATATCTGAAACTCCTTCACCTAGGGGTTCATACTCATAGGGTATCTACCAATTGGATTGAATGATTTAACAAAGGTTATTATCTTCTTCTAACAAATAAATATAGAAATTAAACAAAAAATACTCAATCTAATAAACGGGGATAAAACTAATAAACTATAGAAAACCAAACCAAACGTAATGATAAAAAGATTTATAAAACTCCAATATAATCTTTTGCACTAATTGTAGTATAACTACTTCTTCTAAACGGTGGTTGTTGTATCATATTACCACCACCAGAATTAGTACCAACCTCACTTCCACTTCTAATAGAAGGTCTAGCATTGTTACTCTTTCTAGGCTCCAACATATCTCCTCCAGTCTCTGTTTCTTCATCATCATTGTCATTATCATCATTATAATAATCTTCATCAGTCGGTTGTTCTTCATCTCCATGTAAATTATTATATAAATCTTCATGATTTATCATATCAGCAAATGAATAAAATTCAATCGTGGGTGAATTCCCATCATCAATAAATTTATTTCTTGAATGTTTAGTATTACCAGCAAAACTAAATGATCGTTTGGTTAATTTTGTCGAGATTGGCAATTGTGGTTGATGTTGTTGTGTAAAACTCTTAGTCAAGAAATGATGTCTCATATGACCTCCAGGTGCTGTAGCACGACGTTCAAGATCAAGATTATGATTATTACCATGACCACCCATTGTTGCGGCCGCACTTGTGGATAATGAAGTTGCCATTCTTGTTCGATGAGAATTATCCAAAGTTGATATCAATGTTTGTGAAATGATACTTCTTGCTCTTGGACGTGGTTGTTCTCTAAAACTACCACTATGATGAATATCACTACTACTACCAGGTTGTACTAGCGTTGATTCAATAGAGACGGGAGCGACAGAACCACCAGACGCCGGAACATGTTGCATTTTGTAATACAGTAGACCAGATGAAGCTAATGAAGCATTTGGAGACAAGGGAGAATGAGATTCATTAGCATCCATACTTGGTTCAGAAGACATATCTACATCAATATATCCTTCTTCATCATCTTCTTCATCACAAAAACAATTCAATTTAACTTGATCAAGGTTAATCTTGGGATTAGTTAATATCTCCGTGGTTGTATCCAAGATTGGACTAGTATAATTTTCTAAATTATAATGAGATGGAATTTCTGGATTGGTTAAGAATATCTTTTCATAATTATTCTCTAATGATCGTTCAAAAATATCACTTGAACTTGAAGTGGTTGAAATTATTGAATTACTTAAACTTGTAGGAGTGAAATTGGTGGGTTGTGAACATGGTGATAATGATAATTTATTCAATGCTCTCTTGACAAACTTATGACATTTATCATCGCTTTCTCCATGGTCAGTATTGGAATCATGATTTGATCTATGAAATGGTCGCATATGACTAGGTTTCTGTTTTGTAGTCAGATGTTTATGTTTATGTTTTTGTTTCTTCTGTTGTTGTTGTGACTTCAGCGTTGATGATGTCCCTACTTGTTCAGCACTTGAAGATGAGCTTGAATACAGACTATCTTCTATAATAAACTTCGCTCCTTCAACTTGGTGATGATGGTGGTGGGGATGGGGATGATTGTCCTGATTATGAGGATGATCTACCATTTCTGGATCTTCATTAATCTCTGTCATAGTTATATCGGTATATGTATGTTTTATCTAAGGTTTATTGATCTTACAATTGTTTCATTCAAAAAGGGTGTTAGTTGTTATTTTATACTGTTGTTATTGTTATACTTTCTTTGTTATGCTTAGGGGGTAGTTGGGATCTTAAAAGGAAAGGATTGAAATAATGTTTTAAAGAAATTAATTAAATATAAAAACAATTAAAATAAATAAAAAAAAAAATTGTAAAGAAAATTGATTTAAGTTAAATATAAAAAATCACCAAATGGAAAAATTCAAATTTCTGTTTCTCTTTATATTTAAATAAAATGTTTTTATAAGGGAAGGAAAGGATCACTGTATATCTTTGGAACTTTATATTAATAACTGACAGAGTGACAAATATGTTTTGTGTTTTTTTGGTCATTTGAAAATATAAAAAATGAATGATTATTTTTTCTTTTTTAGTTTCCTGTTTTTTTTTGTGTACGTTTTTTATTTTTTTATTATTTTTTTTTTTTTAATTTTGGAACTGCAAAAAAAAAAAAAAAAAACTTTTCCAATATGTATGACCTTTTTTTTTATTTTTTTTAAGAAATTTTTAATTTTTTTGCGTCCAATATTTGATTCATAATAGTTTCAAAGCTTTTTTTGGGTTCAATTTACAACACCCACCATTCCAGTACAACGAGCAAATTAAGGTCACACTTTACAACTTGTGATATCCAAATTATGGGGTATTTCTTCTATCATCAATACCTTTTTTGTATATGGAATTGCAATTCCATCTTTTCTACTTGGTTATGATTACTTTCAGGTATAGGAATAACGGAATACTCCCGAGAATTCCAAAAATAATATAATAAAATATTATTCGTTTAACTTAAGTTTTATGTACAGAAAAGAAAAAAAATAAATTATCGATTTATCACACACTCAATCAAGAAACTTAATAGAAGAAAAACTTTTTCCCCACTTACAATTTATTAAACCAGCAAAACATTCAAGTGTATACCGTACACCCCCCCTAATTATGCATATTAAGATTTTTGCATCTGAGGATAATTAAACTTATAAAAAGGCTAAGTTCCATGTTAATTTTCACGAGTATTCTTATCAACGTATTGAAATTAAGCTTGTCGATAAGTTATTTCTCTAGATCGAAGTAGCCGTGGGTGTAATCTCATAGAATGATGTAATCTATCTGTCATCAATGACCCAACATTAGTTAAGGTTGCAAAAGCTACGCATACTTTTTTTTATTTTCCACACCAGTTTGAAGAATAGTAATCATTCCAAAAAAAATATTCGGTAAAAGATTTTATTTTTTTTTTGGATTGAATTGTTGTATCCCTGTTCCAAACTTTGTATTGTTTTATGCAAAATCGGTTAATGCAGAGAATGTTCTAAAATAATTATTAAAAGAAAAATAATAATGTCACAAAACTGGATTGTATATTATTGAATGATTAAATGAACTTAGTATTAAAAAATAAGCATCGCCAATAATATTGGGATAAAAAATAAAATAAGATTTTATTTTTATTTTTAAACTGGGGCGAGAAATAACACCACAAGTCAAGTCACCTTACTTTCCACACCATTCTTCTAATTAAAATATTACAACACCACTTGGAACAAGAAACAATAAGAATAAATGACTCTCCTCTACACACACTCATTATTTTTGCAACATCATCATACTGTACACGGACTACTAGCTTCCATCACCTTTTATGCCATTTGATAGGCACTTTATTTCGATCCAAACCATTGCATTAACAAACCCAGTGGTCGTACTCCAGATCTGAGATTTTGTCATTATTAACGTTCAAGAGACAGAGAGACACGTTGCAAGTAATATTAAAAGAGAGGAGACGTATCTGTCACCCTTTATCGTATGCATATCCTCACGCTATCGCACATGTTTACTCTTGGGGTATTTTGATCAGAAACTATAAGGGGTAAGAGATACACATCGCAACCAACAGCACCCGGCAATCATTCATTTCAATAAGTCCGTGCGAGAGAGAGAGANAGAATGATTCATAACCCAACCAATGGCAAAGTCACAGATTTCGGTTTTATTTCTGGACCTCACCCCATTTTATTTTCTTTTTTTCTGTATTTTGCAATCATTACATGAAACAATGATATACATCACCATACAATACACATATTTTAGGGTAATTGATAACGTCATTTAAAGTTACTTAAGTTGTAACTTTAAAAAGTTATTTATTTTGAATTCTAATTTTAAATTATTTTGTTTGATGAATTATTTTTTAAATGGATAAGAAAATAATTTATTATTTTATGTAATCTTAGGAATCAAGAAAATAAATTTATAAGGATCTTTACAAATAAAAAATCCCTCAACCATTTCCAATCGGTGAGACTGTCTGTTGATAAATATCAACTTCCATAATGAGATTCTTTATATTAAAATTACCCAAGAAACAAGGAGGCTGTGTTAAAGTTATTTATATAACCCCTGGCCTTATTGATCACTAAAATATAAATCTAATTCAATTATCCGCCTTTTCCACTCTGACATAAAATAGATGATCTCAACGGTCACTGGGTTAATGCAAAAAAGGAAAGTGCTTATTGGATAGGAATAAATCCGGCTAATCAACTTCCTTATAAGCCTTTAATACACGAGGCACTATACCCACTGTGGTTAACCTGTCATATAGCTGTTGTAATTAGTCTCTATCATATATTGCTTCCCATTCTCTCTGATATTAATAATGTACCGGTCCTTCCTATAATTTCCTCTACAAACTTTTCTTAGTCATCTGGAATGCGATTCATACGGCGATAAACAGCTGATGATTTACGATCTTTCATTGAACAATAAGTTGATAACGCAAAACCAAGTTTCCAGAAGCTGTCTCCAGCATGCTCCTCAAATTACGTCATTGTTTTCCCGAAAAAAAAGTTTGCGCGTTTGGTTATTTACGATACTGTTACAATATTTCTGATTTTTAAAGGATCACATCTCTCGGCTAGAGTAACCCACACCATTCATAAACAATCAACAAACTGGATCATCTACCGCTTCTAATGTGACATGTCCTCACTATCCCAATTTAGGGAGGTTTCAATCATACTGATGATGGTTCCTTGGAACACTAAGGAGACGTATTTTTTTGGGTAGGTCATGATTTCCCTAATTCTGAAACAATACCCTCAAAAAATGTAACCGTGTCCATGCCACCCCCCCTTGATCAAATGATTTTTTCTTGGGAAAGATCAAACATCCCCCCCCAAGGCTGATGTTTATCTATATATTGACATAATGATTACTCCACTTCCGATTACGCCCTTCCGGTTCCGTCATTTCAATAAATTAGATAATGCTTTAATACACCTCCAGATGCTTGTTGATGTGTGTAGATTACTTAACAGGAAATAATGTCGCGTCAAATCAACTTAAAAAATAAATGTCGCCTGTTTAAAAATTCCACTTTGGTTGTGTCGCATTTTGTTGAATCAAAGATCATCATCAAAAAGAACCCTTCTCCCAAAGCACACGCTGTTAACTTAGATGTGTGTAACAAACAGAAATGAATATTACAACAAATATCAATGAAACGGTACCCATTCCATCAGAAGTCCTTGAATTACATTCATTTCTTAATCGTAGTTGGATAATTGAAATATCAACCTGTATAATAATCTTAACCCTTTCATTATCATCAATAATTATAGCTAGTTATACAACATTAGCAAAACCTCGAAATGCATTAGATCCAAGAATAGATAAAGATACTAATCCCAATTATGATCCTACTGATATGGATAATTGTCGATTTTATATTATGAATAAATTAGATTTATTAATTTATGATCAAATTTCTTTAAGTATGGTAATTTGTATGCCATTTATTGGAAGTGGAATGTTGATTTTATTATATTTTTTGCTTAGGAATTTTGAAGATTTGAATTATTGGTTAAATTGGTATATTTTAAGTATAAGTCCCATGATGATTTATTTTAGTTTATCAAGTATATTTGTATTGACGGTTAGGAAATTAAGTCATAGTTTATTTGGTAAGAATTCTTTGAAATTTATGAAAAGATATCGAATTTGTGTAATTGAAGATCAAGATGATTATCCATTGGGTCAATTAGAGTTCTTGCATGATGAAATTAAACCAAAAGATCGGAATCAATTTAAGAAATATGTTCAACTGGAAAACTTGACAATTCTTGAACCAACCTCAATTGAATTAATTCCAGATACTTATAATACCAATTGGATAATAGATTCCAAATTCTTAATATTATTCCCCATAAGTTTATTAATAACCGGAATATTCTATTATTTCCCCAACAATCCTTTCATATTGAATTTCTTAAGTTTAAATTACATCGTATCATCCATAAGTCAATTACGATTAAATCGATTCAAATTAGCATTCTTATTATTATTAGGATTATTCGTCTATGATATTTATTTTGTATTTGGAACCGAAATTATGGAATCAGTAGCTACACAAATTACAATCCCTATTAAACTATTAATCCCGAGATTTGATTCAACATTTAGTATTTTAGGATTAGGTGATATTATAATTCCGGGAACTTTAATTAGTTTATGTCTTAGATTTGATTTATATAATTATCATAAATCAAACCCTGGGTTGGCTTTTCATCATTTAAATTCATTCCCAAAACCATATTTCATAATTAGTAATATTAGCTATGCCATAGGATTGATTATAACATTGATTGTACTTAATGTATTCAAAGCGGGTCAACCAGCTTTATTATATCTTGTACCAAGTTTATTAGTTGGAATTATAGGTACAAGTATTAAACGAAAAGAATTTACTCAACTTTGGCAATTCACGGAAGATATTTCCGAATTCATTCCTGACAAGAAGGAAAAAGAACCACGAGATTTCAACCTTAATGAGGATGATGATAACGAAGATGAAGACGACGAGGATGACGAATTTCAAGTTGATGAAAATGAAATTGAACAATTGGATGAAATGGACGATTGGATTGATAGGGTTGAACTTAAACGAAAAGAATTTGGCAGTGATTTCGATACTGATATTGATGATTTCATTCATGATAATTTATATAATGAAGAAGACGATGATACGTTTGTCATTGCTGGTGCAAGTACAGCAGAGTACCCTGAGGAGCATGATGATGATGATGGTGAAGATGAAGATGATTCAATTGTTAGAATATTGGTGAATGATTTACGAAGCGAACCTAAAGAATGGTATTCAGAAGAAGAACATGAAGATGGAGTGTAGAATATTATTATTTCTTCGGATTTATAGAGATTGCAAGTTGTACTCGATTTTTATAGTTAGTTTTAACTGGGGATATATATAAATGATTGAACTTAAAGTCAAGAAATTTCACTGCGCAGATTTAACAGTTCTTTGATTAGCACATATTTTCTGGAATTTCAAAACATATTTTAAGTTCCAATCTTACTTACCCTCCTTCTTTCCTACTTTCTGTTTCGTTATCCCGGGAGTTGCCTTCATTCCTTAGGGTCTCGCGAGCCTTCTCGTCCGGTGCCTTTCGATTCTCAGCTTGTTTCCTGTTTCCCTGCAATTGGAAGCCTGAATAACTCGACCTGTTTCCATTCTCGACTTTCACCTGCCGAGCAGCACCAACGAACAATGCATTGGATATTTGTTGCTTTCTGGTTCTTGCGATGGATATTGGATATTCTCTGGTTCTTGCGATGGATATATCCCTCTTCTTGAGGTTTCCTCTTCAGATCAGACCTGGTCATCACAATTATTAGTAGTGAGTATGGACGGAGACGGCATTATTGATAATAAACCTTGATTGGTCATTCTCTGTGATAAACGATGTTGGAACAGCTGGGGTTTCTTATTGTTAATAAGACTGAACTATTCTGGCCCTCTCTTGTGTTAGCAAATAGTAGTCAATAAAAAGTTAAGAAATATTTGGCAGCATTTTCATGAAACAGGACTTTTTGGTTGCAAAAAAACATAATAGAAGGGTACATACATAGTGCTGCAATCATCCATAAAAATATTACCAATTTGATGTTTGTAAAGTTCACATGTTATTAATTAAAGTTGCATATGTAAACTCATGAGTAAGATCACAGATATTCTATACTTTGGTTTTTGTTGATTAATGGAGTATGTTTGCATGGCGGTGTTCCGGAAGGAGGGTCCCTATGTAACCTGATACATTGTGTGTGTAGCTTCTGAAGATCTCTGATCCGTTGGATGCTTGCCTGGTTTCCTAATTTTCTCAAGAAATAATAATTGTGAATCTCTCTCCTTTTGAGGTTATTTGGATCGAGGACTAACTAACTATGTTTATAGACTCAATATTTTATTATCGAAATCGATTCATTACGATATTGAGTATAACTTGACGAGCACGTGACGTTGTAACTGTCAAACATAAAGTAATTCTGGTAAGAACAACACTCACGGTTCCTACAACAGTATCGAGATCAAGTTAATCTTTATCTTATCTCTTTCTACTTCCCCATAAAATCTAAAGGTTGCAAAATAAAATTGGTTGATATGCTTATCTATTTATTTGGTAGTAAAGTAAACAACAACAATGAATCACGAGATTACATTTTTCATTGTTTATGTACGAGAAAGAAAGAAGTGGCGTTTAATCTTTCATAGAAATTACATACACAACAAGCATAAGGCCCAATCTAATCTACATAACCTTACCTAATAGAACGGCCTCACCTATTCAGGTTAATCTATAAGAAAAGTAATTCAATTAATTAATCGGATCTGCCCACCATGATCCCCTCCTCCTCCTCCACTTATCCCCACTGTTAATTAATAATTATTTTTGCCGTGTAAATTCTTATTTTTTTTTTTATTTGTTTTAACTAACTGTGGGGAGAGAAAAGTGGAAAAGCGAAATTGCGCGAATCACCCTGAACCATTTCAATGGATTTATGATCATTCAGTCATCCAGTTATCACTTATCACCAAAAAATACATCAATTTATAGAACAAGTCAACTGATTTTCTTGGGTATATTAATACCCGAAGGTTTAACGTAAGTAACTGCCTTTTCTTCTTATCAACGTGCTTGTTTAATTTCTCATAACTTAGGAATCTTCTACTACAGATAAGAGTCTCTCTCTCTCTCGAGGGAAGAGATACCGAGTATTTGCTTCAATAGATAAGCCCATAAGCCCATATTTCCATACACACTCAAACACAATAGTTAAATGCCGCCGTCCCCTTTTTTTTTGCCTTGTGTGGGAATATTTGCGAAAGGTGAAATTTCAATTGTGTAAAAATGAAATTAGTTAATTGTATATCATTCTATTCTATGCAGCAGAAAAAATTAAATTAGTTTAATGCTTTCAAAAAGTTTAAAAAAATAATTTATTTTTTTATGTGGAATTTTGCAGTAGTTGTGGAAAATTACCACTTGATTTTTCCGAAAGACTTTTCTATTGCCTCATTATTAATTCAATTAATTAATTTATTGATACTTGCAATAAAAAAAAAAAAATAAAGTTAATGTGCCACCCCATTTTTAATTAATTTAAATTATACCACACATACACATAACAATTTTTTTTATTAGAGAGAGGGGGGTTTTCAGTTCTTCGATTTTCGTTTAAATGTTTTCTTTAATATTTATAGAGAAATAAATATATATAAATAATTAAAATATCATTTTTTTTGAAATTTCCTGATTTATAATTTCCCAACCCCTAACTTTTAATATTAATCATTTCATCTTTAATTTAATTTAATTTCATTTCTTTAATTCACATCAGTCCACTGATAGTCATATAATAACACCCCATATTCAACTATGAAAAGAGCTTCATCTTCAATAGATTCATGTTCAACAAGATCTACCAAAAAACTAAGATTAACAATGACACCAACCAATGAATCCTCTCTATCTTCATCAGATGGAATACCAAATAGAATGAGTGTGAAACAACCAATCTCATATATCTATCATAACAACCCACCCAAACAAATCATCAACAATAACAATTCTGGTAATTGTTTTAATGGTGTTTGTACTCCAACTTGTTATTTTAAAGATAATATTCCAATATTACCTTCACAAGGAATACTACCTAATAAATATTTATTTGAAGATGATGAAGAACAAGAAGATGATGATGATGTGGATGAATATGAATATGATGATGAAGATATATCTTATTATAAAGCATCTATGAATCAAGATTTATTAAGAATAGATCAATTAATATTAATGAATTAAACACAAGCTATGCCAAGGAAACACAACACAGCAACAACAACATATAACTTCAACTGGTTTGAAGATGATAATTAGGAACAACAGATCCTTTCCAACAAGATATATATACTATACTGTATGTTTATATAATTTTATGTTTATTATGAAAGTATGAAATTTGGAGGGTCTATTTAATGTACATTAACTTATATTTATATTTAATTACTTTGTGTCACATTTGTAGGTCATCAGCCCTAGCTGTAGAATACTGAGATATGACATCGTAGTACTCCAATAATTTGAACACTCACATCTCTTATTATCATTCTTACTATTCTATCTATGCCCGGGGCCCCTCTCGTAATCAATTATTTGACTAAGCCCGAGTTGCAACAATTGGAAACCCCAATATGACCGAGTACGTGTACCAACCAATTTTTGGTTACTTTTCAGTTTCAATTTTTCAGAGGTTTTTCTTTCACAACAAAACCCATCAACCAAATTCTTTAATCAACCCCCACCCCCCCTTTACTACCCTATTGACCAGTTAATCACATGTCAGCATCAAGTGCGACTACTAACGTCTACGGCGGAGACGAAATCAATGCTATCGTATTAGACGCCGGTTCATACAACACCCGAATCGGATATGCAGGAGATGATTTCCCCAAAATAACAACACCATCATATTATGCCCAAGTTGGAAACAATAAACGTATCTTTGGAGATGATATCAATGTCCCTCGAGAGAATTGTGAAATCAAACCCATCCTTAAAGATTCATTAATTATTGATTGGGATGCTGCTATTGATCAATATACTCATTATTTCCAACAATTAAAAATCGAATATCGAGAACAACCAATCATAATCACCGAACCTATTTGGAGTGAATTTGGATATAGGAAACAATTAATTGAAACGATGTTTGAGAATTTTGAATTTGCCGGGATTTTTTTAGCGAAATCGCCAACTTGTGTTTCATTCCAACAGGGGAGACCTAATTGTCTTGTTATTGATATTGGTCATGATAGTATTAGTGTTACGCCTGTGATTGATGGGATTTGTCTTTTGAAGAATTCAATGAGGACTAATTATAGTGGGAAGTTTTTAGATGATCAAATTGAAGATTTTGTTAATGCAAAGGAGATTATTGTGGAACCTACTTTTAAAATAAAATCAAAAGTGCCTACAGTATATCCTAATCCGGCTAATTATAAACTTAGAGATATAAATTTGAAATTAACTGATTCATATATGAATTATCAAAAGATGAGAATATGGCATGAATTTAAAGAAACTGTTTTAGAAGTCCCTGAAAGGAAACTATCTCAAGCCCAGCAAAAAGATCAAACTTCAACAGGTCCATCTATAACTGAATTCTATTCTCAAGATAGTCATAAGCGATTATTTGAATTCCCAACAGGACAATCCATAACCCTAGGAATTGAAAGATTTCAATTTGCAGAATCAATCTTTGATCCAACAATTTATAAATTCAATAATAAATCAAAAGCATATCCTCCAAATAATGGTGAAATAGAAATAAAAACAAGTTATGGAGAATATAGACCTCTCAAGAGAATACGTAAGGCAGAATCAACTCAATCTACTCCTGCACCTGATGGAACTGAACAACAACAACCCGTAATAAAAGATCAAGTTAGGGGATTATCACAATTGATTACACATACTTTATCAACTATAGATATTGATTTACGAGCATCTGTTGCCCATAATATAATTGTGACTGGTGGTGTGTCTATTATACCACAATTGACTGAACGATTATATAATGAATTATCTAATAATAACCCAGGTTTGAAGATTAGATTACATGCTGTTGGGAATACCAGTGAAAGAATTAATCAAGGATGGATTGGTGCTAGTGTATTGGCTTCATTGGGGACATTCCATCAAATGTGGGTGACTAAGGAAGAATATGAAGAAGCTGGAGTTGAAAGAATCTTAAATCAAAGATTTAGATAGAATAATTATAGTTTTATAATTTGTATAATTAAAATAAGTGGGATAATTGATTTGCTATGAAAAATTATTATTTTTTGAATTAAACAACCAACGTTTTTTTTTTATTTCTTTTCTATTCGTTTTTGAGAAACTTTTTTATTTCTTTACAAAAATAATAGAACGTTACATACACATTTATACATTTAACAGAAAAACGTATGCGTTTTTTTTTTTTTTTTTAATGTGGGAATTTTTCATAATATTGAGTTTATCTTACTTGTTCAGCCATTTACATAATTATTTTCCAGCAAAAAATTAAATAAAATGTGTTAAAAATTTAAAATAATATAACCCCTACACATTTTTTAATTTCTTTAGAAAAAGTTATTTAATATAAATGTAACCCAAAATTGCCCAAATAACTCCTAAAAACTATTTTTCCTACTTTTTTTTCTTTTTCCTTTCTTCTCTTTAGCAATCCAATTAATCCAATTAATCAATTGATAATAAATATGAGTTCCAATGACAATGACAGAGCCTTAATTAAAGGTGCCCTTGATCTTGATCCTTGGTTAGAACCATTTCAACAAGGTTTAATCTACCGTCAAAAAGAATTCAGGAAATGGTATAATCAATTGAATGAATCTGAAGGTTCTCTTTTGAAATTTAGTGATTCTTATAAGACTTATGGTTTACATGCTAATCAACAAACTAAAGAAATTACTTGTACTCAATATATTCCAGAAGTTGAAGAAGTTAGTCTTGTTGGTGAATTTAATGATTGGAATGTTGAATCTCATAAATTAGCTAAAGTTAACAATTTCGGTCTTTGGTCAATTACAATTCCACCAATTAATGGTCAATTTGCCATTCCTCATGATTCTAAATATAAGATTGCTATGAAATTACCAAATGGTGAACGTATCTATAGATTAGATCCTTGGGCTCAAAGAGCTACCAATACCAAACAAGAAGTTTTGTATCAAGGTAGATTCTGGAATCCACCAACTTCTTATCAATTCAAGAATCAAAGACCAAAGATTCATCGTCCTCAAGGTATTAGAATTTATGAAGCTCATATTGGTATTTCTACTCCAGAACCAACTATTGGATCTTATAAGAATTTCACGCAAAATATCTTACCCAAGATTCATCAATTAGGTTATAATACTATTCAATTGATGGCTATTATGGAACATGCTTATTATGCTTCTTTTGGTTATCAAATCACCAGTTTTTTTGCTATTTCTTCAAGATTTGGTACTCCTGAAGATTTGAAAGAATTGATTGATACTGCTCATGGATTAGGTATTAGAGTTTTGTTAGATGTTGTTCATTCTCATTCTTCTAAGAATGTTGAAGATGGTTTAAATATGTTTAATGGTACTGATCATTATTTATTCCATGGTGGTCCAAAGGGTAATCATGATTTATGGGATTCAAGATTATTTAATTATGCTAATCATGAAACTTTAAGATTTTTATTATCTAATTTGAAATTCTTTATTGATGTTTATCAATTTGATGGGTTCAGATTTGATGGTGTTACTAGTATGCTTTATAAACATCATGGTTTAAGTTTTGGTTTCAGTGGTGATTATAATGAATATTTCAATCCTGATTGGGTTGAAACTGAAGCTATTACTTATTTAATGTTAGCTCATAAAATGATGGAAGAATTAGGTCAACAACAAAATATTGAATTAACTTCAATTGCTGAAGATGTTAGTGGTATGCCAACTCTTTGTTTACCTATTAGTCAAGGTGGTATTGGTTTTGATTATAGATTATCAATGGCTATTCCAGATATGTGGATTAAAATCTTGAAACATTTATCCGACGATCAATGGGATTTACATAATATTGTTCATACTTTAACCAACAGACGTCATGGTGAAAAATGTATTTCTTATTGTGAATCTCATGATCAAGCTTTAGTTGGTGACAAAACAATTGCTTTCTGGTTAATGGATAAAGAAATGTATACTCATATGTCTACTTTATCTCCTTTAACTCCAATCATTGATAGAGGTCTTTCATTACATAAAATGATTAGATTAATAACTTTTGGATTAGGTGGTGAAGGTTATCTTAACTTCGAAGGTAATGAATTTGGTCATCCAGAATGGTTAGATTTCCCAAGAGAAGGTAATGGAGAATCTTATCATTATGCAAGAAGACAATTCAATTTAATTGATGATGAATTATTACGTTATAAATTCTTATTTAAATTTGATTCTGCAATGCAAGCTGTTGATGAAAATTATGGTGTTTTAGATACTCCACAAGCTTACGTTTCATTAAAACATGAATCAGATAAAGTTTTGGTATTTGAAAGAAATGGATTAGTATTTGTTTTCAACTTCCATCCAACTCAATCTTATCCAGATTATAAGATTGGTGTTGATGTTGCTGGTACTTATGAAGTTGTTCTTAATTCTGATCGTGAAGAATTTGGTGGTCATTCTAGAATTCAAGAAGTTAATGAAAAGGGTCAACCACAACAATATTTCACTAATGATGATGGCTGGAACCATAGACGTAATTCTATGATGGTTTACATTCCATGTAGAACTGCTATTGTTTTACAACTTTCTAATAAGGTTAAAAAATAGATTTTATAACCTTGTCGCTTTAGTTTAGTTCCTTTTTAGACTCTCTTTATATGTAAATTATTACTCCTACAAAATTCGCGTGTTGTTCAATGTATTAAAAGCAAATCAATAAAATATACAATAAGAAAACCGTATATAATAATGTATGATAAAATCACTCTCTCAATCAATTACGAACTGTTAATGTACCATTTCTATCATAAATTCCTCTGTTTCTAATATAAGGATCTAACTTAATATAATTATCACTTAATTCAGTAGCCAATTGAATCTTATCTTTCAAATACATCTCGGAAACATCAGGATTAACTGATTCTACCCATCTTTTCGTAGTTTCAAAGAATCTCAAAAACTATTCAACCCGTTCTCTTTTCAATTGTCTAAATATCTCATCCTTGCGTTTCATAGGCTGGTCATCAAATTCTTCAGGTGGTGTATAATGTCCCCTTTCAGTATCTTCTCCGCCGAGATAATCAGGAATATAAACCGGATCAATAAATCTTGTCAACTCATCAAATTCATTAGTGAAATGAATCTTGGCAGCAACATAAGGATCTAACCAATGTTTAATGATATTCCACATACACTTGAAAAGATCCATCGGGCACAATGAATCAAAATAGAACCTAAACTTTCAGGATAATGAGCCTCTAAACATTCAGCCAAGAATTTAACCGTGACATAATCAGCATTTAACAATGAAAATCCCGTCATGTCAAATAATATAGTCACGGTATCAAATGATTCACTAACTTCTCTTAAAAATAATCTTATCCATTCAACAGTAAGTAAAACAAATCTCTTATTAGCATTATTTGAGGAATCAGTAATGATGAGGATCATACTTAGCTAGACAAGGTATGAGAAATGGAGTTTGATGATTTGGATGGGTATAGACAGTAATGCTGTTGGTAGATGAAATTGGCAGCCAAACTTTAGTTTCAGTACTTGGAGACAGAAATTCAAAATCACAGAAACTAGTAACAGCAGTATAGTATCTTTCCAATGGAAACCCGAAGTCTTCATCACTTTCAGATGACATACTTGAGTCTGACTCCTCTGAGGACTCATCAATACTATAATCAGCAAAATACTTATAATTATGAGCGTAAGTGTCCTATAGGTCCTTAATTGGACCTTCAATTGGACGATATATTTCCTTAGATGATTCTGAATGGATCTGGGCCATTCTTTTTGAATTTGGAGGTGGAGTTTCATCATGATGTCTATGACTCTTCGTATGTCCAAGCATCACCCTTTTTTTCGAAATACTAGACTGACTAGCTTTTGAAGAAGCCAGAGATCCATTCGTAGTCACTCTGGTTATGGGTAATTCCCCATTTCTTTCATTTCATCCACTACTGGCAATGAAACTTTGCTTATATCTAAGATCTTGGTTATCTATTTCAAGATAATATCCGAAATATCTTAATAAATAAGCCCAAAATTGTTTGAAAAGGATTTCTTGTTCGGCATTTTGTGCTTGTATCCTTCCCGGACGGTATATTACTTGTTTATTCGACATGATATCTTAATTATTCGTCGATATTCGTTGGTATTAGCGTTGCTCTTTCTATTCTGGAGACGGTATGGAATCGAGGTGAAAGGGTAGAAGGTGGTCTATTTAAAAGCTTAATTCACTATTGGAAAACAAGTGAGTTATACTTCTACGTGATAGAATACGAAACTTGAACTATATGGTATATCTATAAGGGGTATTTGTTAATAATTATTCGTACGAGTAATTCGTAGGAAATCGAAGAATTATAATTAAGATTATGGTGGCGAAATTTGGAACCCCCCATACTACCTTTTAGCTTGACAAGCTAACTTATGGAAAGATCTTCACAACCTGAGAATAGTAAATATTATAAGCATAGTGATGTAAGTCCTCCTCATTGGAGTAAAATACGATGAAACTATTTCATTTTCCTATCTGCGTTTTTTAACTACATACTACATAGTTGATTTAGAACCATAGAGATGTTGTAAACTGCCGGAATTTGTCTTGTCAATTCCCCTCCGCCCCAAGTTATCACAGGCTATGTTTAAGCTTACGTCTGGCTCAATCCTGGAAAGTTAAAGGGGATCCTGTAAGAGTAACCCTATACCACAGCAATAAAAAATAAATGGAAAAATTGAAGAATTAATCCTGAAACAAAAGAAACCCAATAGAATTATCTTTTTCCTTCCAGTTTAATCAAATCGCCTGACAAACAACCAATCAAAATACTTCAAAACTTCAATCAAATTGCACCATAATTACTTTGTTTATTTATTTATAAAGTTTCAATGAAAATATATTTACGAACCACCAGTACAACTATTGAAATAAGATTTGCGTTTAAATCTAACTTAATTAAGGGTTTCTTTTGTCCATTAATAATAGAACATAAAACGGTGCTACACAGTTTTATCAAACCCTATTGTTGCAACAGCCTTTCGTAAAATTATTTTCTTCGAGCTTCAAGCTTTTTAATGGATTACTGTAAACTGTATGTGTCGCAATGCTTACCCCTCCAACTTTACTCAATTATACCTCGGTTAGAAGTCTTTAAAGTACTACATTGGTGAGGGTCTCTCTGGTACCTATCACTAGGGTCTGTGATGATCTAGCCAATACGCTCCTTTGATGTTTGTCCCCAAGCATCTAGTTCTTCCAAGACATATTGGAACATATACTTACAAGCCCGGCTGTAACTAGTACGCGATTACATATAAGTAGCTGGCCGAATATCCAAAAGCGCAATATTCCTTTCTGTGTAGAATAAACGTAAAACATTAACTACTTATAAAGATACAATTAT